TAGGGCAGAAAAGGAGATTTTGCAAATGGCACTGAGGTGTAGTGGCTAGTGCTGTTAGAAGGAGAAACAGGGAAGAATAGGGAAAATGCCCATCATTTTCTCTTGTCAGAAAATGCCTGTCAAAAGCTGGAATTCTGAAAGGAGATGTGGAACATATGGAAAACATTCAGTCCTTGTTAGAGTAATTGATTTATATTGAATCGGCAAGCAGTGCCGGGTGTAAATATCTGAGAGAGGAAGTCCTCTCCTAGAGAGAAGAGGGAAAGGCACATGATATGCATTGGCCGGTCCTGGCACCTGGAACACTTCCTCCCATCCCTGTTGAGTCCTGCTTCACTGAATCCATTCACTCCTTTATGACGGGCTCTTTGCTGCTTCTGCCTTACTGCACAGTCACACAGATGCTTCTGGTCTGTTTGATTTCTGGCTTGGAGGTTTCTATTAAGAGTGCAAAGCCACAGGAAGAAGACAGCAAAGTTAAATGGAGGTCTAAAGTTTTCAAAACAGCTGTAAGCAAGTTTGTGCCTGTATGTTTCCTGATGAATATTTTGATGACCTCAGGGAATTCCCCTGTTACAATGATGTAACAGGAGCTGAAAGCAAAAGGAAACAGCTGCATTCCGCATTCCGTTTCCTATGTGGGCTAGTGAAACACTGCTGCGGGAAGTGAGCCCCTTCTGGCCATATATAGAAGCGCAGATACCACATCTGTAGAGGGAAGGCTTTTCTCCTCTATGCACAAGTCCTATCCCTTCCTGGGGATTCACCTCCAAAAGATACAGGCACTTTCTTGGCAAGAATTGAACTAATACTCGAATAATATTGGCTTATATCTTTACAAAACGCACAATTCTCCAGCTCCAGATAGGGCCTGGCCTCTTTGGGCAATGGGCTTTTATAGAGAAGAAAGGGATTAAAACGCACTTCCTGCTTCCAACCTGTTGTGCAGGTCACAACCTCCTAGCTAACATTTCTTACCCACCCTATGAAGTGGAGATGGAAAAACTCAGTATGGAAGTGCAGTGGTAGGTTAAGTCAGCTGGAAATCTTATAGTTGATAGTGTGTGAAATGCCTTTGTCAACAGTAAATTTCCAGTTTCACGGGTTCATTAAGAATATCAGATAATAATGTCTGCCTATATAATTTGAAAATATATTCATCAACACATTAGGCAAATAGAGAGCTCTGATGTATTTTAAGAAATGTTAGAGAATTATGTATTGCCAACTGACAGTCAGAGGCTTTTTCATGGAAGCATATGGATGTTGGTAGAATTTGGGAGATGTTACTCTAACCTGCATAATTTTGTATTTGAGATCATTAACAAGGAGGTTTGTGTGCATGTGTGTGTGTATGTGTGTGTGTGCATTAACAAGAAGATTTGTGTGTGTGTGGGTGTGTGTGTGGATATACATTGAGGCATTGGGAAGGGACATCAATTTGGGAGGGTTTCTTGAATCGTTTCAGATTTCCTAGCCAATGCTTTAGTGTGCTTCCCTACAAATTGGGGGAAAGGGGCTTAGTAATATTTTAATAGATTTTTGTCATTTCTCCTTTCTCCGCTACTGCTTCTGGGTGGATCAGGTTAGGAGCAATTAGGCTTGGCAATTATTGAATCTCTCTTTGTTTCTTTCTTAAATTGGCTAACATTTCAATTATTTATAATCCTGTCTATTCATGGGATGCTGTAGAAGATTAGGTATTGTATTATACATATACACACAGACTTATAGACACAAGCATGCATATAACTTATACATAATGTATAGTTTTACTTATTTTTGTTCACGTTATTACATTGTTATTTTTAGTGTATAAGGATTATCCTAGCTAACTCTGTGCTGTCACTTTGCCCTGAAAATGTCTGTAGCCATGTCAAGAGTTTTTGACTTTATGCATAGTTAACTCTAGAACAATGCAAAAGTTAAAGGTTGACCCACCTCAAAGTAAAAAATCTGCATATAACTTTTAACTTTCTGAAAACTTAACTACTAAGTTAGTTAACTGCTTAACTTAGTCTACTGTCAACTGAAAACCTTATCAATAACAGTCAATTAACACATATTTTGTATGTTATGTGTATTGTATATTCTCACAATAAAGCAAGCTAGAGAAAAGAAAATGTTATTAAGGAGATCATAAGAAAGAGAAAAATATATTTATCATTCATTAAGTGGAAATGGATCATTGTCAAGGTCATCATTACATTAAGCTGAGAAGGAGGAGGAAGAAAGAGAGGGGTGGGTCTTGCTGTCTCAAGAGGTGGAAGAAGTGAAAGAAAATCCACTTATAAGTGGGCCTTAGTAGTTTAAACCTGTTGTTCAAGGGTCAACTCTATATTCAAAATAATTGGAGAACCAAGGAGGTGCTGGTAGCAGTAGAGCTGGAGATAAGAGTTGATCCGCTGCAGCACTGAGCCACTCACCCACTCTACCTAAGTCTCTCTCAGCCTCTGACCGCTAGCTGCTGAAGGTGCATTGTCACTTGGGAAGAGGATTAGGAGAGACTCGGGTCTCAACTATGTTGGTCACAAATGTCTTTGGGGAATCATAGTGTAGTGTCAGCAGGAAGCAGCTGAATTTGAAGGCAGATACACATTGATCCTGCCTGCCTGCCAACACCTGCCTTTAAGTCGACAAGTCTCCATAGACGACCAGCCAAGCACAGAAATGCAGTAATAGAGGGATCTGCAGTACCAGCGCTGCCCACACATCTATACTTCACAAGCCAGTAAAGAAATCCAGTAGCTCATTGTGGATTTGTTTAGGTGTGTTGACAGTCTGATTCCTCTAGGAGGAGACTGCACCAGTCATATGATGCTCATTTGCTTAATAAACGAAAGTGAGCATCAAGAACTGTGAAGTTCCTAGAGCCAGCAGCAGCTTAAAAACATGGAATGTAAGAAACTCAGCAGAATTTGATATTCTGGGCTCTTGAATTCACAAATTGAGTTTATCAAATTTGTTAAAAATCACAACTGCATTGTTTAGCATACAATTATTTTGACAGTTAAGTTCACCCAAATATCGATATTGTATAAAATTGTGTACCTGCAATAGATGCCATTACCCCCTCCTCCAAAGTTGTGTGGGCTGTTAGGACAGATCAAGTACCCACAGGTCACCCTAGTGGAATCCCCTATTTACAGAGAACCTCTGCTCTGCTCACCCAGTGCTTCACTCCTCCCCCTAATTCTCCTCTAGTCATCCTAGAAATTACATTATAAACAAATTTTCTATCACCAGCACTAGTGCAGTCCAGGCTACCTCAAGGAGTCTGGGAGTTTGGAGTGCATCTAAACATTACATCCAGAAACAAACAGTGATTTTCACACTAGTTTAGCATCCCCCACCTGCAGAGTGTTGAGACGGGCCGACTGGAGAGAGGAGACTACAACTCCTAGCCCTCCTGGCCTCAAGTTCTGCTTGTTTTGTGGAAAGGAGAAAAAAATAATGGTTCTGCCCCTGCTCAAATTTGACTTTGTTTCTTGCCAGCTGTACCTTCAGGCAAATTTCTTCTCCTACGTGAACTTCATGCTCCCTACAACGTTCTGAGGCACAATTTAGAAGGTATGAATGCTAATAGTAAGTGTAAAACCACTGCAAAGTGCTCTGCGGACATTAGGGGTTATTGTTCAACACATCTAATTGTATTGAACTGGACTCCTTTTTCAGCTTGCCGTTATTTGTCATAGGATTGTTTGTGTAATTCTGTAGCCACAGTTTATAGGCTGGATCCCAGCTCTGACCTTGTAAAATAGTCTAAATGTGTGCTCCCTAGGTTTCTCATCTTAAATATGGGGACAATTATAGTATTTTGCCATAGAATTATTGTAAGTCTTCAATGAGTGAATACACAAAAAAGGCATCAAAGTATGCCTACCAAAAATAACTACAACTGTTAGAAGTCAGAGTAGCTACCCTCAGAGAAGGAATAGGAAAGCTGGTTTTAAGTAGTGATGAGAAGGCAACACTCAGAAGGCTTCTAGGTCCTGAGCAAAATCTTTTATTTATTTTTACCACAGGTGTTAGTTTCCTAGTGCAGTCAGTATATGAACATTCATTGTGCTATATGCCTAAGATACTTGCAATTTCTGTGTGTTGTACTTTTTTCTTTTTTTAGATGGCATCTCACTCTGTTGTCCTGGTGGGAGTGCAGTGGCATGATCATAATTCATTGCAGTCTCAAACTCCTGGCCTCAAGCAATCCTCCTGCCTCTTGCCTCAGCCTGCTGATTAGCTGGGGTTACAGGCACACGATAGCACATCTGGCTTTGTTATTTTCATATTAAAAAAAGCCACCATATATGTAATTTTATATATATATATATTTGTCTGCTATGGCTGTGTCCCGTTTGGCCCTCTAAAAAGTTGTTCATGCTTGACCAAGGACAACATTCATTTTTGAAAATCTATTCCATTATGGCTAAATGTTATCAAAAAACCGGTTTTGTAAAAATGTTCTAATGAAGAGTTGATTCATTGTGACATCCTCTTTTATTCCAAAGGATAAAGTTGTTTCCATGCATACATTTTAACCGTAATACAACATAATCAAATATTAGCACCTCAAAAATATATTCAAAGATTTGTAAAACTAAAACAAAACTTGTGATCATGAAGATTTGGTGTTTCATCATGTCGTTTCCTAAAATAGAAAATTTATAAAATTTCAGTCTCATAATTTACTAGATGATGTTTGACAGAAGCAATGAAATCAGAGAAACAAAAATGTTAGAAAATTTTTGCAAGTTATTTTCAATATTGTTTTATTTCATGCAAAAAATAATTCACCTCTTAGTCTCAGAGCATTAGAAGCTCAAACTCTGAAATAGTCTCAATTTTAGTTGAGCTTTTTAGTTATTATAATATTGGTATAGCTACTCAGATAAGTAATAATACAAAAGATTCTGAGTATTTTTTGTTAATACAGTCCAAAATGAGTCATAATGTTATAGGTTATCATGTTAGATATGAACCACTATTGAGAAAGAATACACAAACAAAATATTTTTTGATTATACAATATATAGAGCCAATTATGTTCACATCAAGAATGATGTTAACAATTGCTTTATTGGCATTTTTAAAATAAAAGAAAAATTTCGATATATCTAGTTTGTGAAATTTTTAAACTAGAAAATGATCTGAACATAAAAATGACGCTAGCCAAGTATATGATAATGAGGCAATGGTGGCAGGTATAAACTAAGGCATAAAGCCATTATTTCCCAGCCAAATGATTATGTCACATTTGTGCCTTACTCAGCTCAAAATCTTATGTAAAATTTTGTATTTGTGAATTAAGATAACCTTTTAAAAGTATTGTACAAAGAGTATATATACATTTTTGAATTCAACTAGCAGATGAGCAATTATCATGTCTGTATTAAGCACTACATTTAAAACATTTAAGGATATCTAGGAACATAAAAATCAAAATCAATTTATTGGCACATAAGATATGTATTAAATAGTAAATGGTATCAAATGCAAACCTACATTATGCTGAAATGGAAAGCATCTTAATGCAAACAGATTACACATTTTTATGCAATTTATCTACTTGAGATGACATTTTGAACCAAGTGGAAAACGTTAAATTCTCCAATGAAAACCATGATTATACAGCATGTAAAGCTGAATGCTTCATAGAAAGCCCTTGCTTAAAATAAATGAGATAAAAAAGTTCCTATAAGGTGAAATTAATGAAGATAGTTATTGGTTCATGAGATATTACCAAACATGGTAATGCTCTTAATTAAAAATGAGATAAGCAGAAAAGTAACTTTGAAAGTATCCTGATGTTTGCCTACATTAAAATCAGAAACTTACCGAAAAAAAATAAGTCTGGTTTTGGCCCAATATTTAAACTTAATGTGTTTTAATAGTTTTTAGTTTTCAAGTGTTTTCAACTGTTTTGTTGTAGGAAAAACCATTAAAACTTAATAAAATCACCTACATAGGGGCACACATTTTCCTTTTCCCCGGAGTGCCCCTGTCCACTGAAAGGTGGACAGCGCTTTGCAGACTCCCGTCCCGAGTGTTCATGACTTGCCCCTTCCTCTGAATTCGGGTTTTTCTCTGCTGGAACGGCCCCGAATCTGTAACACAGACTACTGCACGATCTGATTTTGAGCCGTCAGTTCGTTCCCTCAATACACCGGCACATCGGTAAAACGGTGTAGCTAAAATGTTCCATAAGAAAAATATCTCGGGGCAGGCGGCGGTAGCGCTGCTTGTCTGTAGTCAGAGCGGTGAAAGGCGGCGTTTACTTGCTGCTGACGCGGCCCGCGGACCCTACGCCCGAGGCCTCCCGGCCTCGACTCTGCGGACCCGGAGCGCTGGTCTCCTTGCGGAAGCGGCGCCCGCGAGTCAGGGTCGCTAGTGGGTCTCTTGCCCCTGGTCTGGCGTCCTCTGCCGGCTGTGAGGAGCAGCAAAGGGAGCTTTGTGCGCTGTTGGCAGTGGTTGCGCGCTCAGTGTCACTGCTGTCCTGGTGATTGAAATTCTCCGCGTCCTGATCTATGCTGATGGCAATCATCACCTGCTCCACTCTGTCCTTCACGTTTCACTCATCAGTATATGTCATTTTCTAGTTTCCCAATCATTTTCTATAATCATGTAAATTGGAAGCATAAGTACCCTCTCTTTTCAACCCACAAAGCCACTAGCTCTGTTTTCTACAGGAGTCACTGAAATAATTGTAAGAAACTCACTCTCTGGTCCAGAGGCTGTAAGTCTCACAGATCGTGTTTCCCACGAACCTTGTGAACTTATGGTGAGAATTAACTGAGCAATGTATATGAGCCACCTGGGTGGTTATTTTATACCAGTAATTATTAGAATTGTTTATTTTGTTGATCACATTTCAGATTCTCAAAATAACTACCAAATGTTAATTTTATTTTGCCAACTACATAAAATAGTCAAGATATTTTCTTGTCATTTTGTGAACACATCTACACATTTGTAGGTGAGGCACAAATTGGTGAAAATATTGGATAATTCTCAAATTTCACAAATTGGTGAAAATATTGGATAATTCCCAAATTTCTCAATTTGAGAATTGTAGGAGACCATAAAAAAAAATCAGTGTATTATAAGTAAAGTGTAGGGCTTTCTAGAAAATATGTGATGGTTCAGTACATGCAATTTCCACAGGCATGTAATGCTGTGGCTGAGGAGGTGGAGTTTGAAGTCTGACAAAGGTTTTGAAACCTAGATTTGCCTTTTATTTACTAGATTGTTTTAGTTACATACACTCCATTAGCATGTGGTTTTTTTTGGTAAATGAGATTATGGTGGGGGATTAAATAAATCCTTCAGAAAGGGGAAAATAATTTGTAGTTGCTATCACCATCATCATCATTTTTGATAAAGACTAAACGCAGCCTGTGTGATTTGTCTGTCAGGTTCTTGGTGGTCATGATCAGAGCAACACTGAAATATTTAATTAGTAATCAGTTCAAGATTAATGTGCCATAAGAAAATAAAGGCAGCATCAAGGAATGTGTTCTCTATCCTCAAACAAATGTAAAGAATAAAGACTATTTGAATGTTTATTCAAATAACCATGATAACCTGAGATCTCTTCATCATTACATCATTCTCATAGCACCTGTGATACATTAGATTGTGACCCAATATTTCAAGTATAAATCATATAGGACTTGATAAAATTATCAAGTATAATTATTAACACTTTCTCTAAAAGAGGATCTAATATCTGTACTCAGAGATAAAATCACAGACATTGAATCAAGGAGAGGAGGAAAATGATGGCCTCATTTTGGCCCCATTTAAGAAAGGCACAAGGGCATAAATGAGAGAAAGAAATTCACAAGAAGTAGGAGGAGCCTACAAGAAAGAATATGCAGTTGTTTGGGGGGAAAAAAAGGCATTTGCTTAGAAGGAGCTACCATGATAAGAATGATTCATGGAGTGAATGGTTAAAGAGCATTTAATTTTTATGTCTGTTTGCTTGTTTCTAAAGCATCCCAATAGTTCAATGAGCATCAACATCTTTTTAATATCTCTGTTTACTCAACTAGTTTTACTTTCAACTAGAGTCTACTAATGCCACCAAATAAATATCTTCCAAACCTATGATCTCTCTCTTTTCGTATAAATAACTATGTCCTGATGGGTTTACTTGACTCATTCCTACTATAAGGTACACATTCAAACTTCTACCCAGTTTTCAAAGGGCATCTGGAAGAGTACTTTTAATACATGTTTGGTTACATCAATGCACTGCTTGAAACATTTCAATGTTTCCAACGATAATTTCTGTGAATTACAATCCCCTAATTTCTTGCAAAGATTTTTGTATAATGTAACCTCTACTTCCTACTCCAACTTCTGCTCTCCTGTCTCCTTCTGTGCCTGCCTCTCCTCCACCTCTGTGTACTTAAATCTTCTTTCAGTCCCTTGTTCGTACATCATCCCTCTGGCCACCAGTTGGAGTAGGAAGTAGAGGTTATATTATAAAAGCTTTCATATCTGCCGCTCCCTGTTTCTGACACTTTGACTACCATGCCTTTACTTAGCTAGTTCCCACAGATCCTTGAGATGCCAGCTTAGCAGTCACTAATTCTGGAAGCTTTCCCAGTCCCACACAAGTCCTACATGCTCCTAGAATCCTATGCTTTCCCTATCACAGCCATTAGCATTACTTTCATTGAATGTTCACTTGCCCACTAGACTAGAAGCTCTGTCATTTTCTGGAAGCAGGAAATATGTCTACTTTTTTCATTGTGCCTGGCACATTTCATCGTGTCAGCAAATAGAAAGTATATTCACTACTTGTTGAAGTTTCAAGATAAATTATTCCATATTTTAGTTTCTAGTTCATGCAACTGCTAAAATTGAATCAACAACCATTGGACATAACTTTTGCAAGAAACATAAGTAAAACTGAATTAGTTCCAGCTATAAAATCTGCTGAAGTGTTTTGTGCATCTTTTTCATAGCCCTAGAAAGGGTTCCTACTGATTACTTACCCTATAAGATGGGTCATCTTTGCCAGAGTGCTCCGCTACAGAAATAACACAGTTGTTTTATTTACCAATATATTCACTAAATAAGTACATTACTTGATATAGATATACTCAAAATATTTTATGAAGCAATGAAATAAATAAAACCAATTATGTTCTTTTTGAAATTGAAGGCAGATTCAAGGATTAAGAACACTTTGTGTCTTTTCAAGAGGTTAAGACCCAATATTAATAGTTAAGATTTAACTTCCTCCTATCCTCCACAAGCAAAAGAAACCAGAAGGCAAAACTGACCATATTTATAAAGAATAAAATTTGAAGACAAGTATCATGAGATACATTGTAATTGTTACAAACTAAAAATGTAATTTCCTTATATTCAGAAGTACTGTACAATTTCTTCTTATTGAAAAAGTCTAACAAAAATGAGTCAATACATTTTATTACAGAAGCAGAAGAAAAGTCTTTGAATTGAACTTGAAGTGACATATTAATAGAGACCCAATTGACCAAAATGAGGTTTATGTCTAAGTCTCTTTTTCAATCTTCTGAGTTTTCTGATAAGCCTACTAACACAGAGAAATAACTTACTGATTTTTACTTCTTAATTACTGGTAGGACAATGCCCAATGTACCAATGGGCAGAGCAGCTATGTACTTTCTTTTTCAGATAGAGACTGGTCCCTCAGGAATAACCCTTCACAGACAGGTTGGAGTTTTCCTACTGAAGGTCTCTTCCATTTTCAGTTTTACTTTCCTTTTTTTTTTCTTTCTTCTTTCCCTTCCTTCCTTCTTTTCTTTTCTTTTCTTTTTCTTGATAGAGTCTTTTTCTGCCATCCAGGCTGGAGTGCAATGGCGTGATCTCTGTTCACTGCAACCTCTGCCTCCCAGGTTCAAGCAATTCTCTTGCCTCAGCCTCCCAAGTAGCTGAGATTACAGGCACCTGCCACCATGCCAGGCTAAATTTTTTTTGTGTGTGTATTTTATTAGAGATGGGGTTTCACCAAGTGGCAAGGCTGGTTTCGAACTCCTGACCTCAAGTTGTCTGCCTACCTCACCTCCCAAAGTGCTAGGATTACAGGGATGAGCCACTGTGCCCAGCCCATTTTTACTTACTAAATTGCACTGAATACACATTTCCTCACCTCTCTCCATCTGCCTTTTAAGGGCTAATGCACTAGATTTGATTTCTTCCATGTTTCCTTACAGGAGACACAATTTACAATCTACAGATAACAGGGCATAAAACTGGCATACCAAGAGTTAAGTCATCCAGTCTTCATTCTGTCACTAAAAATGTGTTCACTGCATATGTGTGACAAACAATGTGCTTGGCAATGTGTATTAAAGAATAATAAGATAGGATGATGACAGCCCTCCAGGGAGCAAAAGCTAGACATTAAAGACACGATTATGATTAATTAGCACTAGCATTCTCAGTACAGCCAAGAGGAAGTACCGAGAGCAAATAAAGGGGAATTGGGAGGCAGTAGAAAGCTCTACTTTCTGACAAAATCCGTGACGCTTAGCAAGTTAAACATCAGATTTTCCTTTCCTCGTTGGAAAAATTGAGATTATTTTAGTAGTTGTCATTTTAGAAACTGTAAAGGTCAAATGAAATAAAGTTTGGAAATTACTGGCTGAGAATCTGAACATAGTAAATTATAGTGATACGGTTTGGCTGTGTCCCCACCCAAAACTCACCTTGAATCGTAGTAATCCCCACATGGCAAGAGCAGAGCCAGGTGGAGATAATTGAATCATGGAGGCGGTTTCTCCCATACTGTTCTCGCGGTAGTGAATAAGTCTCACAAGAACCGATGGTTTCATAAATGGGAGTTCCCTCCCTGCACAAACTTTCTCTTGCCCGCCACCATGTGACCTAACTTTGCTCCTCATTCGCTGTCTGCCGTGATTGTGAGGCCTCCCCAGCCATGTGGAACTGTGAGTCAATTAAACCTCTTTTCTTTATAAATTATTCAGTCTTGGGTATGTCTTTATTAGCAGCTTGAGAACCAAGTAATACAGATAGCAACCTTTAGTATAAATATAATCTATATAGTTTGCATTTGTAAACTTAAGTTTACAAATGTTTAAGTTTACAGGAGGGCGCCTCCCTCCTGGCCCAGTGCGCAGCGTCCCCAGCCCCGGGTGCTCCCAGGACCCGCCCTCTCGCCCTAGAGTCCAGTGTGTCCCCTTCCCCAAGCCTTCCCCGCCCCGCACCCCCACACAAACGGAATCCTGAAGATTAAACCCGTGTGCTCTCGAGTCCTCAAGCCCCAGAATCAACTGGTCCTTCTGTAAAAATAAGCCTGGCTGAAGTCTGTGTGGGGAATAAAGCCCCAAACCCAAGGGAAAATTCCGAAAATGAAAGGTGCCCTGCTGGCTACCTGAGGAGGATGTCTCGGGGGAGACCACGGCGGGGCTGCCTCCTCAGCAGCAAAGGAGATTTTTTTACTCAGGTTGAAGCTGCACAAAGTTGACGCGACAAGCCTCAACGACGTTTCCCTGGGGCTGCGCGACGCCCCGAAACTCAAACCCGCCAAGAACGCGGTTCCCAAATGCTGGGCGTCAGGAAAGGCCATTGCGGCCCCTTGCGGCGGCCTTGGTGCGCAGCGAGGGGAGCAGCGCTCTTTGCGTAGCGGGCCCGCGTCCCCTAGCGGCAGGCTAGTGAATTTCTGAAATCG